ACCACTTCCTATTGGGAGTATCATAAAATTGATTAATAAGGTAGATACTCCGATATATGAATAATTAGCAGAACCAATCAGAGTGGTAGAAGTGGTAGGAAAATTAGTACACTCATCGTACCTTACTTAAACAAGTTAGTCGTAGCTAGGTATATTTCGGTATTTTTAGGCTAATTTCTTCTGATTGGTTAATCACTTTCAATTGTATTTATACAGTTTAAAGTACTTTTTAAGAACGTAATATTACATAAGTAAAAAATAAAATTAAACTCGTCTCTATCTTCGAAAAGTGTTTTAAAAAAATAAAATTAAATTAAAAATAATAAATAATTTATACAAATAAATAAAATAAAATAGGAAAGAATAAAAAAAACAGAATCTCTATACTGTTTAATATAATTTCAGAGTGCTTTTATCTGATATTTTTATATAGTAAAAAAGTAAAGGTGTTAAAAGTTCAAGTTTACTTAACTCAGCTTAAAAGTTGAGTTAACTAACTTGGAAGTTAGTTTTGAGTTTAACTTGATATATCATGTGATATTAATAACAAGAATAATTAGGCCACTCCAATTTAAATTTATGTTTAACATAACCCCCTCTCCATTGAGCAAATAATAAAGGGGGTTAAACAACATACATATAGATAACATCTAGATCCGGATTTCAATTTTGTACAGAACGATCTTCGAAATTTTATGTCGGAATGCATCGGAATCCTGGTCAGCTAGGCCGGAATTGATCAATTTCACTAAAATATCTTTTTTTAGGAATCATTAAAAACTTGTTACTGCAAAATGATAATATGCATAACGATAACAATAAAATCATGACAATGTATACTTATCGAGGTATACTTATCAAGATATCAATAAACAAAAAAAAATCTAGTGGCGATAAAGTGCATAATGTAATAAAATAGATGTTATAATACGTAGCAAATTTGGGTATAAAATCTGACAGATTTCTGAAAAAACATAATACGTATCGACAAAGTTAGCCAGCATTGGTTATAATATGGGACAATTTAGTTGGTATTACATTTTTTCAGGAAAAATAGTTTTTAGGATTTCAGGGTAGAACCGCAAATTTAAGTATATATAGAGGGATTTTTTTGAATTTTAAAGCTGGTAATCAACCAACCAATTTTCACAGCTATAGATTGGTTTTTATTATCCATATGTTGAGTTTTTTTTGATATCGTTTAGACTTTCTGTACCTGCCATTGAATTCGCTAAGACTTATTTATTTTCTTGATATATAATATAAATAATGGCGTTAAAATTGAGGTATTAAAAAATATATTGTTAGAAATTTTATTGAAAATATAAGCTTCTAACCTGATTGATTTTCTAATTCAAAATTAATCTAACCCAACCCATATAGTGCATTGTGCAAAAAAAAAAAGCCACATCAAATATCGAAACACTTCATATTTATAACTATCTTGCGCATTTTAAGCAATTCATTTCAAAACCATCTTGCGCATTTCAAGCAATTCATTTTAAACTATATATAATTAAATATAATTGACTAAAACAAGATTATATATATGATTTACTTGTAATTAGCTTTTTTATATTACATATATGTTGATTATAATGACGTTTTGTTAATTTGGATTTTAATGATTACTCCCTTGCAAGCTTAACACAGATCTTTAATTTTATATGAACATTGTTACTAGCATATTTTTTAAATAATGCAGTATTTTGTTGTATGTGTAGTTAGAGGAACAAAAACTATTATCCCAGACAAGGTTGTAAAGGTATTGATACAGAAAGTCCTCGATTTTATAATATTTTTAGTGTGACTACAAATGATCAATTTGAAGATTGTATTGTTCAAGTGTTTTTAAGAAAGCCTCCAGAGAATTGGGTTTATATAGAAGAAGGATTAGAGGGTGATATATTGATGCTATTTGAGCTTAATTTTACCCATATTAAATTTGTTTTAGAGGCAGTAGAGACTAGTGTTCAAGAATCTTTTTGCCAAAATTTAAATGCATTTGATCTTCTTATGAAAAATTCACAAAATATTCATCTCCCTGAATTAAAAAAAGAGAATACTTGCAGAGACTTACTTTATAATAATATCATTCGCTTATTTCAAAATAAAGAAGTTAGATAGAAAAATGCAACGCATAATACTATTAGAAAAAGTTTTATTGAACTCTTAACAGCAGCCTTGTGGTATATAGATCTATATTGTACAAAATTTATAGCACGATCACTTTCACTTGAAGATCTATTTGACGAATTAAATCAGTATCAGCAAAACCTAAATTATAATCTTTTTTACGATACTGGAAAACATGCTAAATCTAATCTTAAACATGATAAACTTGAGCAACTAGCTTCATCATTAGAACTATCAGTAGTACAACCATAGACAACAAATGATAATTGGGAAATAATTATTAATGAGATTTTTATTTTAGTATCTTCGATGTGAAAATATGCAAGCAATTTAGAGCAAATCAATCAAGTTATGAAAGAAATACATTTAAGCAACACACCAGCACGCCACCAGTTAATAATCTAAAAGTATATACAATTGAACCTTGTCTAAAGATCAATACAAAATACCAGCAACTTCAGGATTTTTTATCAAATATTGACGATTATAGTGAAATTAATTTGAAAAGCTTTTTACCTGAAGATGCAATACAACATTATCATTATATTAAAAATCTTCAAATACAATTTTCAATTACTGTATATTATTATTATCAAGATAATTATCTTGGTACTATTAATTATATTTGGAAAATTCTGCCTAATTTTGAAGATCGATCAGAAACTACTCAAGCACGTATAATGGCAGCTATTCAAGAAAGACTGCCACAATATTTTAGTCGACAAATGCGAAAAAATGCATTAAAAAAGGTAAAATTTTATACTTTTATTTAAAAACTATAAAATTTAATGTACTAATTTTTTAATCAAAAAAATAATATTAGTATTCATAATTCAAACTATTACACCCGCTATTTTGCGTGTTTTATACCATAATTTAACTGGAGATGCTGTTGTAGCATTAAATGAAATTAGTAAAGAGTTAGAGGAACGTCTTCATCTTATGTTAGCAATAGAAGATCCATCAATTATATGTAATTTACATCAGAATAATAGATTTAAAGGAACAAATTTTGATCTATTTTGGAATGAATTAGAAGCTTATTTTAATGAGGTATTTTTTTTAACTATATATATACTATATAATAAAATATTTAATTTATTTATTTTATTAGAATGTACTAGCAGTTAATGATCGTCAACATGAAAATGTTCTTTATATGCCACTTGCCATTTCAATATGTGATCTTTGTGAAATAATTATTCAACGATTAAATAATAAATCTATGTCTGAAACTATCTTAATTCCAAGTGAAGAATGGATACGTTTGCAGTTTCAACCAACAAATCCAACTACTGAAAGAGCTAAACAATATACAGGATGTTTTAATATTAAGTTTATAGTTTAGGCAAGACTGCTTTGTAAAGATCATCCAGATATGCATTACTGCGCAGCTCTTTTCGATATTTAAGAGAATTTGCAATTTTATACTGGCAATATTCTTTATTTATATATGCTGATAACAAACACAAAATATCTATTAGAGAAGATATTAATACTTCTACTGGTGTGCATAATAAAAAATCTATAGTTTTTCAAGAAACATCACTAGTAGCATGCGATCACGATTTTACAAAATTGTCCCTCACTCCTATAATATTTTTTTGTAATATTCCTCAATCTATCAAAGATTCATTTTATAGTGGAAAAGTATTTGTTTCATTTAAAGATACAGTATTCCAACCTAGTAATGTGATAAGACAAGCTACTGAGTTTTATCATATAATTTCTACTTATTGTTTAACAATATTCCTTCAATTCTTTGTCTTTATACTGATGGTGGTCTCGACCATCATATAGTATTTTCTTCAGTTCAAATTTTTTTTATTTGTTTATTTTTACATAGTAATTTTGATATGCTTATTGCAATATGCACAGCACCTTATTATAGTTGGACTAATCCAGCCGAAGAATTATATTTATTTTAAATTTAAGTTTACAGGGTATAGCATTAGTTAGAGATACAATGAGTCTAGAATCCAAAATAGAATTTGCTAAATTAGATACATTAAATAAAATTCGTATTGCTGCTAAAACCAATTTGATTTTGCAAAATGATTTAAGCAACTATATAGAACGTATCCAATATTTATTAGAAGAATGCACTAAAAGACTAGTTTTTATAATGAACCATTTCAATGCTATAGTCTAGCGAATAAAATAGAGATCGATAAATTTTTTGATGTATGTAATTAAATTAATAAATGTTAAAAATTTTTATTACTTTAATTTATTACTAATATATTATTTATTAGATAGTATTGTTAATTGATCGAACCTTAAAGATTTCAGATACAACAAGTAATATTTTGTCAAAAAATTGATTTACAACAATTTATGCAAGCACATTGCAGATATCACCAATATGTTTTTTAGATAAATTGTTAGTATAGTTATAGTTAGATCTTTTTAAATATAATACCTTTAACTCGATTATATAATACTATATAGCGCTATATATAATATTTTGTCTTTTTTTAAAATCTTAAAATAAACTAATAAAATCTTTAAAATACTATATATAGTGCTATATAAATATGTCAAAAGTTGGTCTATACAAATTGAACTTAAAAGTTTATTTTATTTAAATTTATAATAATATTTAGATAAAAAAATATAATTAGTTATCTTGTACTATTTGTCAATCTGTTCATCTTCTAGACAATATTTTTAATACACTAGATTGGCTGCCTGATCCTATTCCTTCTACAAGTATATTTTAAAGTTATTTGGTTATACTATATTATATCTATAATTCTAATAGAATAAATTTTATTATTTATAGTTGATAAGATCATTATGCTAAATTTCAAATAGTATATCGGTCAACAATATCAGAACAATATCATCCAACACTTATGACCATGATTACAAACAAAGAATATGTACTATTATCTATTTTAGTAAATACACAAGTTTGAGAGTTTATTTAATGTTTTTAATGTAGAAAAATATATTGTTTATATAGTGAACATATATTATTAGCAGAGAATAAAATAGTATGCCAAAATGCTATAGATAATTGGAACTATAGTTGTAGATCACCATTTGTGCCAGAAAACCATATTTTATACAATGAAGTTTATGTAAGAGAAAAAATTAGTTGTGAAACACCAATGGAATTAGCATATTATTCTTGTTAGAAATTAAATATTAATAATAATATTTGTTATTGGTGTGAATATGATAATAAATTGGTAGAACCTTCAGAAAGTCTCAAATCAAAATACAAGTTTTTATTTCCATGCTGTATATTATGTCGAGATGCAGAAAAAAAATTTTTTGTATGTGGTAAGATTAAAACTTATACAAAAGTTACAAAAAAACATAAAATTAATAGCTAAAATTTGGCATATAATATAAATATATATTAAGTCTAGAAATAGTCAATTGTCTTTTCAATAAAAGATTGGTTTTATTTTTGATATGCTAAATAAAAATTGTAAATGATTCTTTTAATATTTTAATATTAAATAATTTGATTAATAGATTTAACAATTTTTTTACTACTAAAACAACTAATCATATATTGCAGTATATAGTACTCTATATCAAACTCAATAAAAAATCACCACAAGTTGCTTGTCAAAAAGTGAATACTATTTTGTATGTAGTGCTATACAATATATTAAAAAGTATAAATATGCTTGGCAGTATGATCAAAAAAATTTTGAACAGCCTAAAAGAGCCGAAAATAAATTTAATTAAGGCTGTTCTTAAGCACTTCCTCCAATTTAATTTGCTAGTAATCAAGTTGACGCTCAAATACTATGATTATTAAAATAAATTTTTATTCAATTTCCATTATAGCTTCAAGAAATAAATAATTACTCAGTTATCTAAAAATTTAATACCCAAAGACTTTGTGTTTGAAACTTTTTTTCAGCTATCCTCTTAACAATTTCACAAATAACTTATTCTTGCAACAGCAAAAAATATTTGGCTACAAATTATTATGATAACAACCATATCAGAAATACAACTTTATGTGAATTCGTTAATATTAATAAAGCGATATCAAAACAGTGAATATTATTTAATAAAATATATATACTGCATATAAAAAATAGTTTATTTTTTGAACATTAACTCTTAACATCTTTTATTTGTTATAAGAGTTTTTAGCATAAAGAGTACAATAATTTTTTAGTAGCGATGACAAGAATCCATATTATGAAAAAATAATAACAACAAAATGAAAATATTTTTAAGCTTGAGCAATCTCTTTGATTACTTTGTCAAAGATAAATTTTAACTAATTAGTGCAGCTCTATAAAAAAATCAGTTGTCACAGCTTTAGGTTTTTTTAACCGAAATAATGACCACGATCAATTTTTTTGATCAATTCAATTTAGCTAACTCAATAAGGTAGGTGCCTAAGAACAACCTAAGTCTATAGAATAGATTGAATTAGTAATTTTAATTTGAACTAAAAATAATAATATACGTTTAATAAATTAGTAAATAAAGTATCATTATAGCAATAAAGTAAGCAAGAAACAGTATTAGCTAGTAGTTTTTTGCTTACTCAAAGTAGGCTGGCTATTAAGTAGAAAATAAAAATCAGGAAAATAAAGTATTGGGTAAAAGAACTGGGTTAAGAAATATAGTTAGACCTCTCTATAATCACACCCCATATAGTCACACCTCTATTTAAGTACCTAATTTTGTGTGATGAATTTAAAATATAGTAAAAAAACCTCATTATAATTACAAATCACTTATAATTAGTGATACGGGCTGACCCAGCCTATCAGCCGGGCGGGCAGGCTGAGGGTCAACCCACACCTTTATAGGGCAGGCGGGCCAACTAAGATAAGTTAGGTTTTAAATAGTAAGTTACTGGATAATTGTTGTAAGTTGCCAGAACTTTTGGCTAAGTTATTCAAATTAAATTGAAATTAATCATAGATTTAAGTCAGACTCAAAGAAAAAAGATGCTACTAGCTCTCTCACAAAAAATTGTTCACCTCTGTTATTTTGACCAATCGAATTTCAGGATCAGATGTAATGTAAAAATCAAAACAAAAACACTTTTTTACAAAATTTAAATTAGGAAACCATCTTTTGCGGTCTAATTAAAAATATTCCTCATAACGTTTTACTAATAAATGCTATATTGTTTTAATCCTAACTTTATCTATAGCATGGTTTTCTTGGTTTTTATTTTACACATAACTTTTTTACTTAGAAAACAAAACACGTTTGTTTTGACACCTGATCTAAATTTTGATTGATCAAAATTACTGGGA